GAATATGGCTTTGGGTATATATTAATAAGATCCCCATATACCGCATATACTATCTACTTAAGGGGTAATACAGGGTTCACGGGGCTGGGGTTCAAGGCTCAGGGCTTGGGGTCATTTTGGGTTGGGGGTCTTGGGTTTCGAGTTCCAGAAAGTAAGGCAAGGTTCAGCCCCACGCAGTTTGGTGGTTTGGTCAGGCATTCCTAGCAGACATCCTCTATCATCCACACACTCCTTTCAACCCTGAACCCTAAAACTTCAAACACTAAACCCCTAAAACCTCAGAGGCTGAAACCTCAAACTCTAAAAACCTCAAACTCCAAAATTCGCTCCTCACCCTCAACCATAAGCCCTCTTGTTAAAGCCTCAGAGCAAGACTTACTGGTGGAACCCTACAATAATCCCTACATAATCCCCATGTAATATATACCTCAATCATGGGCGCCGAATAATATTAGCAATAATAATCATAGTAGTAGAAAGCATGATAATCAAAAATGATGATGATAATAATTCCCATATAATACATACCCCAATATTGGGTACCTATATAGTAATACTAACGATAATGATAATGATAATGACAATAATTTGATCACCCCTAAACCATACACCCTAAACCCTAAACCCCTAAGCACCAGTAGGAAGAGGCAGGGCCTTAGGTCTGGCCAAAGACGTAGCTTCCTTAGCGGCTCGCAGACGTTGCAGAGGGGATTCCTCCCTACGGGCTTCTTTGAAGAAATTATAGGATGCACCAGGTTTATGATAGGATGTTTAGGGTTGATAAGTTGGGTTTTCGAGGATTTTCGTCGCACTGGCTTTCCACTGCGTGGATGGTTCAGGGTTTAGGATGCTTTTGTTGCAGCCAAGCGCTTCATACTCCGCTGTAAATTGCAGGGTCGCCCTAGCCATAATTTTTGAGAAACTCGAGGCTGGGTTGGCTGCCTCCTGGGGCACTTATAGGGAGCGCTGTGAGTTCCCAGCCCCCCCCAACCCCCCCAAGGCATGCTTCAAAAGTGCTAACAGTCGCAGGGACCCTCGCGATCCTCGTAACTTGTCGTCGTTTTGGCGCCTCAAAGCCTCTATCCTTGTAACAGTCATCACTTTTTCGCTCCTCATGGTGTCCTCGCGCTTCAAGAGTACCAACAGTCACAGGGATCGCGGTGGTCCTCATCTTATTATATAGACCTTCTGTAGAACCATGAACCCTCTGTAAACCCTACTGAAACCTTCCGTGCACTATTTAGAAATTCTCTATGAAAACTGCACTATATACCCTGCATAAACCTAATGTAAACAACAAGATCTAGAACACAAGCCTCAGGACCACAGAGGGGTGGGGGTAATGGGTTGTACATCCTCTATCAGCATTATAAGCCCTCTATAGACCGTCCATAAACCCAGTGCAAACAACAAGACCCAAACCACAAGCCACAGGACCATAGACCACAGCGGGGGGTGGGGGTCATATGTTGAATCGTCTACAAACACTGCAAACCCTTTCTAAACCTTGAGCTAACTCACAAGACCCAAACCACAGGCCACAGGATCACGGGCGGGGGGGGGGTGGCGGTGGGGGCGGTTATAGTTTCATCCTGAGGCCTTCGGATTCAGAGCCTGTAAGATAGCCACCATACCATTGGGGGGGGCCGGGGCGTGTCCATATTTTGTGGCGAACATTGCGGAACAACGGTCCTGTAAGGATAACAAAGGATATACGACTAATCAGGTCGAGGATTCCTCAAAAAAGTGCCCCATCAAGATTCAAATTCAGGGCCCCTGTGTGCGCAAACTCCGGTTCGGCAGCTTGTGCAAAAACAAGACAAGCCTGTGCCTGTGTGGTGCTGCTATACTTGACAAACGGCTTCTAAGTTTTTTAGTAGAATTGACCTTGTGCGGGTTGCAGAGAGCGTGGCAGGGCATGTTGCTCTTGCTAGCAAGAGCTCTGGCATAATTATGGTAGACGTAGTCATCGCAGCAGTCGCACAATCACTTGGAATAGCAGAAGTAGAAGTGGCAGCAGCTCCGGTGTAGCACTAGTTGCTTGAATAGGAATACGAATCAGGCTGGGCTCCCAAACCAGCAATACCTTGGAGAAAGCGGTGACAGCACGCTGCATCCCTGTTAAACAATGACCGTGCTGCTCTACAGGGTGTGTTTTGCAGCAATGGGACATGGCAGCCACAGGCGTGAAGGACAAGCTGCCAAAAACCTCATGAGTCTTCATGCAGCCAGGCATCAGAACTTTGGCAGCAAGTCTCTGCGCCAGCTTGGCTGTGTCTCCCTCCACAATGCCCAGTAAAATAACAAGGCCTCTCACACAGAATGCAGTCAGCCGCAACGGAATTGCTCCTCGCGGCCCATTTCATGGTCTTTCTCCTCTTGCAGAAAGAAATGACAGACAGACAGGTATGGAAAAAGCGCTTCCTATTGCTAAAGTAGGCCTGCCGAAAGCCTTCTGTGAAATACCTGCATTGCCTTGTTAACTTCACAATCTATAGCATTGTCAAAGTCACTGCACCCTGCCTGGGCCAATTTCACCCGCGTCGCTGCCCTCCACAGCCACTTTGGCCCGCGAGACACGCTGAATCACGAGCTTCATGGGGAATCCGTATTGAAAACAGGTCAGCGATGCTAGGGATGCACAGGGACTGCAACAAGGGGCTGGTAAGGTCCTCTTGGGAACGCCATGCGCCTGTACCAATCTCAAGGTCGAGTCGCTTCGTGCTAGGTGCTGTACTTTGGGAAAGGAAGCTACAGAGAATTGCGAAGATGCATTGGCAGTGCTCGCATTGGGCTGGCTTTGGCCCTGAACAAAGCATTACATCCTGGAGCCGCGACCGGGAGGTTGGCATGACTCACATGACTCCTGAGCGGTTTCTGTTGTGTGACTCAAGCACAGCATTCATTCTGGCGGCTCCGTCAAGTCAAGTGTCTGTCGGGCGTCAAGGCAAACCATGGTGCAGTGCAAACGTCATCTTCCAACATCGATTCCTCGCTTCATGAAAAATCAACAAAACATTTGAAAAATGAAGCCATCAGAACAGGATTCGACACAAAAACCTATAGCCCTGAGGTTGCCACCCATCTTTAAGATCCATGACAACTAAACCTACAATTCTGCAAACCTCAAGCGGCAAAAGCCCCAAAAACTCCGTGGTAAAGTCGCCTTGAGCTTAGCAGCCTTGTTCTTCCAGCGCTGCTCGCCTAGAAGATTTCTCAGGGCAACCATGAGCCCGAATGTGGGCCCTTACCTGTTTCCTGGGTCCTAATTGTGGGGCCTCGTCTAGGATACATATAAGATATATCAGGACCCTAGGATTGAGGGCCCATGCTAGGGGCCCATAGTTCGAATCTTGGATTGAAGGCTACGTTGGCTCAGTAAGGAGTTATGGTTCTGGGTGCTGACAGTCTTAGAGGAGAGTTACGGATGCTCACTGTACTTTTGAGGAGTACAACCACTTTGGGAGAAAAGGCATTTCTGACTGCAGAAATGACCTCGACACAGGCACCGTTCTGTACACGCTATGATGGCAACAATTGTCATTGCCCACTGCTAGCAACAATCAACGCCTATACCATTAGTGAGTGCTTACACCAAGTAGAGGACATGAGCTTCATGAAGGGGTCTCTGCCCAAGGTGCACGCTTAAAGCCTCTGGTTTTCCCTAAAACGGGTTTCCTTGAAAAGGGTGGGAAGCCCGTTGGCGAAAACATCAATCACCCCGTCCTTCCGGTAGGACAGAACACTCCCTCTCCCAATGTCAAGCCTTCGCTGTGTAATAGAAAAGCAGAGTGACAGACTTGTTAGCCATTGCAAGGAGTAGGTAATCGTTATTTGGGGCACGGGGATTTATCTGGCATCACAGCTGCATGGCTGCCAGCCAGACGATGGAGGCTGACTCAGTTGACGCATTGTCCGTTGGTAAGGCCATGACGCTTGACAGCTTCTTCCAGCTCCATGTGCAGCCTCTCCACCATAAGCCAGGTGAACCATTACAGGTGGATCCGGCTAGAGAGGCACATTACCTAACACGAGTGTTGTCTATCATGAACATTTGGTTACAACTGGAGTTCCCCTACCTATACATCCAATCTGCGGCATCTTCATCTTTAGTCCCCTCGCTTGGCGGCATCTTGCGAAGCTAGACTTGGGATGGGGTCTGGCCTCTCGATCAAGTCCTTCAACGCCTGCGCAATCACAAGGGACATAAGAAGCCGCCATGACATTTAGGACGAGCATACCGAGACTATGGAGACCCTACAAAGATTCAAAACAGACCTGCCCCCTGCATGTCTGATCTCTCAACATGATTGAAACCTCCGTGAACGTGACCAACCTGCTGAGTTTACCCGCCCCGACACAATGTAGACTTAGAGACACAAGGAGACGAATTCGTCCCATACGAGAGGAATTAGCAGGTCAGCGTTGCAGGCCTGGTTCTCGCGGTGCAGCTCCCACGGCTGAGAAGGATCAGGTGCCTGCAGGCAAAACAGGCGCCGGTCGCGATCGCAACAGCCATAATAGGATTGGCACCAACTCGATCCAGCAAGAATCAATGTAGTCCGACGAATTGCCATCATCTCGTGTTTGACACACACGGCGTTCATGATCCAGTCTGGGCTTCTGGAGATGTGAACACCTGCTGTATGCATCGCTACATCGGCAGTTGCCTCGGCTGCCAGGGACGGATCCGTTGCAAAGCCTCTGCGCTCAGCTTACGCAACATCATCACTAGGGTGTGTTAACACTTCTACATACGTGTCCCTAGAGAGCACCTGCAATACACTCTCGCCGGACAAACCCAGGTCCCTCCCAATTACGCATAAATTTCCTGCAAGGCGGGTTGGTTGAAAGGGGTTAGCACAGCCGCCTCGCCTCGAGGTAAGGCCTTTGGCAGACCCTCCGCACCAGGCATTGGTGGCACAACACTTGCCTGAGCAGTTTAGCATTTCGGGGTTACGGCACTACGTAGCGCGTTGTGTGTTTCCATTCTGTTTGCGTCTGCGCTTGTCACTCCTCACATCTACCGGCTTTGGTTTTCACGAAAGAATACCACGGCGAGGGGGTAGGGACCAGGGCTTGTGCCTCCCGGGAAACAACATCCAAACTACTCCAGCTAGGAACTGGACATGCTTTATTCTTTACAACATATCTACATCAGAGGACTTTTCCCTGCACTTTCACGACATTGCAGGCGTGGTCGGAATAAAAATGATTGCAGTCCTGGGTACCGCAAGCTTTCAGCATGCCAGCGTCCAAAGCTTGACTGTGACAGACTGTGAACAATCCACAGTTAGAGTTTGTGATAGTGTTGTTGCGCTGTTCATTACCATTTCATGACCACTGTCTAAGCACTTCAATATGGCTACTGGACGGTAAAGTCTTGTTCTTCTGCAAGCCTTCATGCTGCAACTAACTACGCAAATAACGCGACGATGACACGGCAGGCCCATGCATCTTCTATTGATCGAATGGAAGGCTGCAAAAATGCACATCTTCATCGACATGTCCACGAACACAGCGCACGAGGCACCTCTCGATCCTGCAAATGCATGTCATAGGCCGTCTTGACCTGCCAACATCTGCCAACTTCCAAGAGAATGGCAACTTCAACGCTTGAAGTACAATAGTAGTGGCAAAATTGGCAAACATGCCAAGGCAAGCTTTTATCTCTTGAGCAAAAAATGGGGCAGCTTAATGCTTTTTGGTGGATGGCTTCGCTGCAGAAAAGCACACGAGGACTGGTCGATACTCGCGCGCAGCGATGCGCAGCCCACCTTGCGCAGCAAAGTGCCGAACACCCGATCCCGCTCAATCACCTGGCTCTTTGTTTTCAGCACTCGGATGGCATGTACAACCTTTTATAGTCCCACGCAAAGGCAATCAGGGAGTCAGAATGAAGAGCAAGATAAGCAGGCTCCCTGAAGCCTGACCGGGAGAATCTGAAGCTCTACGGCATGCTTTTGGCAGCTAGAATACTTCGTCGTGAATGCGCATGCAAAATCAGATTATTCATGGTATGCTATGTCTGCGGTAATGTGCTGTAAATTGCAACCCGCGCCTAAGCTACCACAATACAAACATACCTTCAATGCCGCATCCGAACTGTCCAGCTTCAAAAAGCCTGACTCCTCCACACTTACATGGTACCTTTCCGAGCCCTCAAAGAGAAACCTTCTTGCTAGTCTGACCAATCCACTGCCTCTTCGAACAAGTCACTGTAGATCTTCAATGACTCGGCGGTATGCTCCTCTACCGGAATGATAGAGCTTGCACAAATCGTGGTCTCAGCTTAACAAGCTTCACTTATGCAAAACTGCTTTCAGTCAACCAAGGGAGCACCACCAACGAGTCCTCTGGATAGAGCTCTGTGGGAACTCCTGTCCACGCAGAACAGCGCACCCTCAATGCCCTCATAAACCCTAAACCCTAAACCCAATCATCCCAATACAGCCCTCTTATAATATAGTAGTTTCCATGTTCTTTTCCATTATCCCTAAAGGCCCTTGCTGCCCTGTACACGGAGGGGCCAGGGCTCGTTTGAGGCATCCGAAATCATCTCCCCAGACCTGGGACCTCAAAGAAAAAGACAACTCGACTTCCGCATTAACTGAATTAAACTAGTATAGTATAATAAGAGATATATTGAGGCTATTAATAGGCATAATGGAAAAGAAAATGGAAGCTAGTATAATTGACTATAATCTACTATAGTATCATAGGGTATATGATTGGGGGTATTTTGGGGTAATGGAAAATAGAATGGAAATTACTATAATGGGTTATATAGGGATTAATACGTCATATAGGGATATTATCACCCTATAATGGAGAATCAAATGGAAAAGAAAATGGAAAATGAAATGGAAACTGGTGTATATGGGGTATATTATTGGGGTTATATAGGGATAATGGAAAAGAAAATGGAAACTACGATATTATAGTAGGGTATATACTCTAAAAATCTCGTAGTTCTCGTGTACTGCTTGTGGACCTTCTTGGATCCTGAAGCCCTGCGCACGAAAAACGCGATTCGATAAAGGGCCTACAGTGTACGAACCAGCCTCCATATTGGCTGCTGTAGACGCTGCCATGGTATGGCCTGAAAACTGGTCAGCATTCTGCATGAGGCGTGAGGAACCCACACACTGAGCAACAATCGTCAAAACACTGCATGGAAAGGCCCCGATAATATACCCCATATACCTCAGCTTCCATTTCATTTTCCATTTTTTCCATTTGATTCTCCATTATAGGGGGATAATATCCCTATATGAACTATAGACACAAAGGAGATGGATCCTGGCAAGTCCTAGACCCTTGCACCTTGAATCTCTACACCCCAGACGCTGACACGCATGAACCCTACTAAGCAACGAAACCCCAGCAAGACCCGGGCGAAGACGCCGCCGAGCGCGTAGCCACCGGGGTGGCCTTCACAGCTGTCGGCACACACTCTCGGCTTATGTTGGGGTAATGGAAAATAAAATGGAAACTAATATAATGGGTTATATAGGG